GCACCCGCCACTGCCTGAGGGCATCTCAGGGGTACGCTATCCGAGACGTCTGCTCCTCATGGTTCTGGCTCTGGCTCTGGCACTGAACCTTTAGACGTTTTGACATTTCTTCTTCTTCGCCGCGGCCCCTCCCGCAGGAGCTCAAAGACTTCTTGCTCAAGTGTTTCACGCGAGATGTGAATCTCCGACCAGGACCGGATGAGCTGATGAAGCATCCCTGGATCTGCAAAAACGTGCAACCGGTTCGCCCCTATCTGTGCCTACAGCGTTAGGCTGTCGACTGAGATAGAGGTGTGGCGCCTGGGCTGACCACACACACACACACACACACAGGAGCAGGAGGTGCAAACACCCAGCGCGGCGGAGATCCACCGAACAATTCGGGAGTACAACACCAAGCGACCGAACACGCCGGCCAGCGTGGTGATCAACGGCGAAAACGGACAGGCGGTCGACGCCAAGAGCGGCAGACCCGTCCGAAGTACGCTCTCTCTTCATCAATCCGTGGCGCATTCCATTCACACTCCATCATGGGCCACCACTAACCGCCACCGCCACCGCCACCGTCGTCGTCCTCATCGACGCTGTACAGCCCCGAAGGCGACGGCCGAGGGGGCACACAAGTGGGAGGAGCTGCTGGCCAGGTATCAGAAGCTTGCGGAGGAAAACAAAGAGCTGGCAGCTCGGGTGGGCGGGCTCGCGCAAGACAAGGAGGAGCTCGAGAAGAAGGTCGAGCTGCAGGAGGACGAGATCCAGCACCTGCGGCTCAAGCTGGCCAGCGAGCAGCAGGCCCGGCAGCGTGCCGAGAAAGACTACGACGAGCTGCGCAAGCGGACCAAGGAGAGCGTCACGGGAAGCAGCATCGGCGGCAGCAGCAGTAGCAGCAGCAGCAGCAAAGCCAAGAACGGGTCGGCCTCCGCCTTTGCGACTGCAGCGCCGGCGCCGATGAGCAAGCGCTCGTCGGCGGGCGCGAGGGAGCAGCGGAGCTCGGGCGGCAACGGCAGCGAGCGGGACCACCGGGACACGCGCGAGCGCGAGCGCGATCGGGAGCGGAGCGGGAGCGCGAGCGAATCGGCCAGCACAAGTCGGCTGCGAGCCGAGCACCACCGCGACCACGAGCGAAGCTCCAGCATTGGCAGCAGCGCGCTCATGGACAGCGGCGTGCTGGCCGCCGTCGAGAAGAAGCGAAGGCCGGCCAGCCAGACCATCCCCTCCAACCACCTCAACATGATCAACCCGGCGGCGTCCGACGCCGCCAAGCCGCCGTCGCCCTCGCTCGGCGTCTTCTCAGCCACGTCATCGTCATCGCCATCGTCGTCGGCTTCGTCGTCGCCCGACACCACGCCCTACGTGCCGGTGGCCGCCGTACCAGCCCCCAACTCTGGCGGTGGCGGCGGCACGCCTCCGTACTCGACCTCTCCGTCGTCATCGTCGCTGCTCTCGATACCGCCGCCGGCGTCGTCAGGTGCCAGTTCGCCCTCCGTGCGCAAGAAGCGCGCGCCCAAGCTTTGTACAGCCTGTACCAAGCCCATCGCCCGAGACGGGCGGTTAGCCATGGTATCGCCTCACACACACACACACAAACGCACATGCACCATATCACGCGCGTACCGATTGCTAATGAGTTTCATGGTCTCGCACATCGCATCAGGGCAAGCCGTGGCATCACGACTGCTTCAAATGCAGCCACTGCCACCAGGTGCTGGAGGAGTTCATCGAGCGGGACGGCCGGCCGCTGTGCGTGGCCGATTTCAACTCCCTCTACGGCAATCGCTGCGGCGGCTGCGGCGAGATCATTCAGGGCCAGTACATCCAAGCCATGAACAGGTTTCCTGTCCTCCTCCTCCTCCTTCGCCCCTCGCTATTCATCAAGCGCTCATTCATTATCGTCGTCATCATCGCTCATTCATCATCGTCGCCATCTTCTTCTTGATCATCGGCAGGTATTGGCACGCGGGGCATTTCCGCTGCTGCGTGTGCAACTCCAACATCCAGGGCGGCTTCATTGAGCGAGACGACAAGCCCCTGTGCGGGTCCTGCTTCAAGGCCGGCAAGTGAGTGCCCCTGTCATCCACACAGGCACAGGCACAGGCACAGGCACAGACCTCGCCTCTGTACTCATCATGCATGCTCCCCCACCCATCATCATCACAGCATCAAGTTCAATGCACTCAAAGGAACAACCAACCTCGCGAGCTCCTTGGCACTGGAGGAATGCCGGGAATGTGAACAAATTTGTGTGCCTTTTACCGGTTGCATTGTTTCCTGGCCGTCAGACAACACAACGGCAGATAAGAAAGGGCGAAGGCGATAAGGAAAGGGAGGGAAGCAAGAGAAGAGGAGAGACGGGCATTGGTTGGGGTTTTCGTGCGACGCAAAGAAGAGCGAAGAAAAAGAACGAAAGCGAACCAGAAGAGAGATGAAAAAGTTTGAAGAGGCGAAGAAAAACTCGGGGGGTGGAGGAAGCGGCAAGAAGACGACTTCGGGGGACGACATTTACATCAGCTCGCCTTCCTCCACCTCCAACGTCCTCCACGTCTCCCACTCTGTACAGAGAGCCCCTCCCCCTCCAAGTTCAGTTAACTCGGACTTAACGTTTAATAACTCACCTTATATTACTTTTAAGCACTACCTTTTATTTCCAATTTTATAAATAAAAAAAGAAAAATATGCGTAAGCTACTTTAAAATTTATTATTTGATTAATAAAATTAATAAAATTAATTTTTGTTTGTTAGGACGGCACGTCCGTGTCTACAATCGTGCGGCGGCTGGAGGAGCACCTGCACGAGACCGTGCCGCCACCGCTGCAGCACCGGAGCAGCACCAATGGCGGTGGGCTGGCGCTCAAGGACTCGGCCTCACCGGTCGCGGTGCAGACGGACATCCCGGTGCCGCCGCCTTCGCCCTCGACCAGCGGCAAGAAGGCCAACAAGCTCATGGCCAAGCTGAGCAAGAAGTCTGCCGCGCCCGTCGAGTTCGTCATGTCCTCGCCCTCCAACTTTCAGCACA